TTTTTGAGACAGAGTCTCGCTCTGTCGCCCACACTGGAGTGCAGTGGCGTGATCTCGGCTCACTGCTGCAAGCTCTGCCTCCCGGGTTCACGCCATTCTGCCTCAGCCTCACGAGTAGCTGGGACTACAGGCTCCCGCCACCACGCCCCGCTAATTTTTTTGCATTTCTAGCAGAGACGAGGTTTCATCGTGTTAGCTAGGATGGTCTCAATCTCCCAACCTCGTGATCTGCCCGCCTTGGCCTCCCAAAGTACTGGGATTACAGGTGTGAGCCACTGCGCCTGGCCTGGATTCTCTTTTTCGGTAGAGATTAGCTTTTTCTGAGTGAAGGGTGGCATGACACACCACCCCAAAATATACCACACTGACATAAAGATTATTTGAGTTGAGGGCCACTGAGAAGAAGCAGATACAAGAAAACTCTGCCCTCTCCCTATTTGCCTAAAAGCAGGACATAAATGTGCAGAAGTGTCGCTCCTCCTCTCTCTACCAGAGAGGACAAAAAATAATCACCAGAGACGACTCATCAGCTTAGAGAGGGCACCAGAGCAATCTGCATAACAACTTTACTAACCAGCCTTTATCTACCATTAGTTTACTATACATTTACCTTCCCACAATTTGTTACTCCTACAGACTCAAAATCCTTTTCCTTTGTCTTTTAATTTCTCTAAAAACTTATTGATCTTATTAAAGATGCTCTATATAAACTGGAGTTTTAAGTCACATTTTTAATTACTCATTTCTAGGTACTCCCACTTGTGACATGTGCTGTACACATGTTAATAAACTTGTTTGTTTTTTTCTTCTTAATGTGTCTTTTGTCACAAGAGCTCTAGTTGAGAACTCAGAAGTGTAGAGAGAAAATAATTTTTTCCTCCCACATGAGGCTTCCAGGAAAACCAGGTCTTCCTGACAAAATTAATGACATACTTTGACAAACTTTCTACTCTCTTAGTTATCTTCTTGGTTTTCCAATGTTTTTCTTTCATATCTTAAATCTGATTTATGATATGAATGTATGTCTTGATTTTAACTGTATGTATAAACATATTCTCTTTATTGTTATTGTGATGATGTTCGAAGTGGGAAATGAAGAACACACCTCAAAAAGAGTCTTCAGCCAGGCACGGTGGCTCATGCCTGTAATCCCAGCACTTTGGGAAGCTGAGGTGGGTGGATCACGAGGTCAGGAGTTTGAGACCAGCCTGACCAACATGGTGAAACCCTATCTCTACTAAAAATACAAAAAAAATTAGCTGGGCCTGGTGGTACGCACCTGTAATCCCAGCTACTTAGGAGGTTGAGGCAGGAGAATCGCTTGCACCAGGGAGGCAGAGGTTGCAGTGAGCCGAGATCCAGCCATTGCACTCCAGCCTGGGCAACAGAGTGAGACTCTGTCTCAAAAAAAAAAGTCTTCATTTGATTATATTTTATTTTTATTTTAGCTATTAATATCTTCTAATAGCTGTTTTAGAAGTTATATCAAAACATAAAACTCTAACCATTTATTCAAATATATTAGAAATGTAAATGACATAAGAATTGTTAAGTACTTTATTTGGACTAGTGCAAATAGCATAAATGTGAATTTAAATCTATACAAAAAGTTAAGTAATTGAATATCAGTAAAATATTAATCAATAAATAATAAATATAAATTATATATGTATGACTAGTGAGATCTTACTAAGCTAGTCTAGACATTTTGTTCAATTATCTCCATTATTTCCTACAGCTTCCTGTGGAGTAACTCTTATTGTCCTTACTCTCATTATAAAGATGAGGAAATTAAGACATAAACAGCAAAAGTGTCTGCAACGAAGTCACAATTTAAGTCTAGGTTTGTTCCATTGCAGAAGCTGAGTTCCTCACTATTCTCCAAAGTAAATATCTACATGAAAACACTGAAAAACAAAGAAATTACATTTTAAATTGTGTCAGGATTACAGTTTCTTTAGAGTTAAAAGAATTTCACAGTGTATCCATGCATGTAAAAAATATTAAATATATGAAAAGATGACTGTTTCAATAGATAGATATCATAAAGTTAATAGGATAATCTTTGGACTGTGATTTATAGATATTTTTCAGTTTCCCTAATCTGAATTTCCTAAATTTTTAACTACGTACATGAATTGCTTTCTAATTATTTGGACACCAACTGATTTACTACAGTTCAATTCAGGCACTAATTATTTGGAGTTAGCTGGACCTCACCAGTTAAAGGGCACATTTCCCAACAAGACTATCCCAACTTCAGACACCAGCTGCAAGTGGGGTTCCCAGGCCACTTGCTCTTCTGAGCAACTGGCTTCAAATCCAGGGATTCCCACTACCCCTTCATGTTGAATAATTTGCTAGAATGACTCATAGAATATAAAAAGTGCTATCCTTATGATTATAGTTTTATCGTAAAGAATACAAATCAGAACCAGTCAGATGAAGAGACACATAGGGCAAGTCTTGGAAGGGTCCTGAAAGCAAAGCTTCTGTGCCATCTCTGTGTGGAAGCAGCAGTCACCTCCCTAGGATATCTATGTGTTCACAAACCAATAAACTTACTGACCTTGGTATTCAGAGCTTTTATGAGGGTTTCATTATGTAGGCAGGATTGATTGAATCCTTGACCGTATGATTGAACTTGTTGGGGCCCAGGGAAAGCTTTCCCTTTGTACTCTGAAGCTTCACTGAAAATCCTGTCAAGAGGCAGATTAATAGAAGAAAAGGCATACACATTTATTTAACATGTACACAGGAGCCTTCAGAATGAAGACCTAAAAATACAGGGGAAATTGTCCATTTTTATGCTTAGGTTCAACAAAGTATGGATAGCTATGTAGAAATATGATTGGACATAAGGAGTATGATCTAATGCTAAGAGACTGAGTGGGGAAATCCAGCCAGGCCTGTCTAGATTCTTGGGCTGTCTGTGCAGTATTTCTTTTGTACATGGAATGGTGGTCTTACGACTTACAGTCAAACAAGGTAAGTTAAATAATTTCTTTGTGGCCAGTTTTTACAGGAAAAAATAAAGTTTATAGGTTTCTTTTTTCTTTTGTTTTCTTTTCCTTTTTTTTTTTTTTTTTGAGATGGAATCTCGCTTGGTTGTCCAGCCTGCAGTGCTGTGGTGTAATTTCAGCTTACTGTAACCGCTGCCTCCCAGGTTCAAGAGATTCTCCTGCCTCAGCCTCCTGAGTAGCTGATATTACAGATGTGTGACACCATGCCCTGTTAATTTTTATATTTTTAGTAAAGACAGGGTTTCACCATGTTGGCCAGGTTGGTCTCGAAGTCCTGACCTTAAGTGATCTGCCTGCCTTGGCCTCTCTAAGTGCTGGGATTACAGGCATGAGCCTCCACGCCCAGCCTAAACAAGCTTATATTAAAGATGACAATTTATTACTTATAAACAAATCAATAAATCTTGCTGAGTAACTAGTTCATTAACTCAAGACTCAATCAACAAAACCAAAAGTAAATTCTGAATGTAACACAGAATTTAAAAACCATAATACTCAATGATGGTAAACATACACAAGAACAGTTACTGCTGGCGAAAGTGAATGGAATAAAACTTTTGAGGAAAATGTAGTAACAGTCATCAAAATACCTTAAAATCTGCATCCTTTGTGACAAAACACTTCAATTCTACATTTTCCTCAGGAAGTAAATTTTGTACAGTTCTCCTTTAAAATAGGAAAAAGAAAATTAGAAAGCACATTTTGCTAAATACTAGAAATATTGTTAAAGTGGACCTAGAAAATTCCTATGATGGAATATTAAGGAGATATAAATTACTGCTTTTAAAAATTTTCCTAATGTGAATTTTCTAAACTTTTAACTGTGAACAAAGATTCCCTTTTGCAAACCATCTTGATTAAATTATAGACAGAATAGAATTTTGGTAATAGTTCCGAGTATGTATAATGTTAAAGGTGGTACTTAATCAGCAGGGAGAAGATGAATTATTTAAAAAATCTTGTTGATTAATAAATTCCTAGGGAATTGGTTAACACTTTAGTAGGGAGAATTCAGGAGGAGAAATAATAAGCAGACATTAAAATCACTTTTTGTAAACTCTTTAGATAAGGGAAATTGATTAAAATAACAGCGCAAAGTTGTAAAATGCCATATACTGCATACATATTGTAGGAAAAAAATGTGCATTTATCTGCTCACCAAAATATCTTATTAGCTAGCAGTAGAGCTCTTTGTGTGATGGGAAAATGGGGATAACAGGCTGTTGTTACTGTACTGGTTTTTTTTTTTTTTAAATATGAATATATAAAAAAAGAGGGTCTCCTAAAGTGTAAGTGCTACCACGCTGGGCTAATGTTTTAATTTAATTTAATTGTTTTCTTGGTAGAGATGGGGGTCTCACTATTTTGCTCACGCTGATCTCAAACTCCTGACGTCCAGGTACACTCCCACCTTGGCCTCCTAAAATGGTGGGATCACAGACGTGAGCCACCGAGCCCGGTCACTTTTTTGTATTGCCCACAGTGTTGATGTATATCTTCTGCGTTCAAAAGCAATTTTTTAAAGCCTTATAACGTGGTAACAAAACAGGGTGCACATTACAAAATTCAGAACACGGAAACAAGAAGCTCACCTTTTTTCCCTATTTCGGTTTGGCCCTTTCGATTTCCCCTCCCCCACCGGGGCGGGACTTCCCGCCGACTTCTTTCAGGTTCTCAGTTCGGTCCGCCAACTGTCTTATAAAGGCGCTGCCTCAGGCCAGAGTCCTCACAAGGCGTTGTGTACGACTCGTCTTGCTCATTATGTCTGGCCGCGGCAAAGGCGGGAAGGGTCTTGGCAAAGGCGGCGCTAAGCGCCACCGCAAGGTGCTGCGTGACAACATCCAGGGCATCACCAAGCCGGCCATCCGGCGCCTTGCTCGCCGCGGCGGCGTGAAGCGCATCTCTGGCCTCATCTACGAGGAGACCCGTGGGGTGCTGAA